GAGGAATTGGAAGATATGGCAGCAAATTCTTCTCAGTTTTGCTTGCCTCGTGGTGCTCCCGTAAAATGTCTTAAAATGGAAAAATTGAGCTCATTTGTGAACAGTTAAAGGAAAGATTCAACTTTGCTGAACAAGAGACAATTATATGTGAATGCAGCAAATCTGGGGGAAAAACCTGTGAGAAGTGGTTTCATTTAATCTTGTAAATAAGCATTATTGACCAAGCATGATGTAGAGATGACTGAATATTGGCCAAGTTCTTTTCTGCATTTGTAGCTCTCCAAATTTGCGAGAGTCCTCTATGCTTCATTTGTTTTGCCCATCTTCAGTCCCTTTTGCTCCATCTCAGACATTGTCCAAAAGTTATGAACTTTCTAGGTCTGCTCCACAATTTTTTTTTCTTTGTGTGGAATCAATGTAGACAATTGTAAGTGAGCCAGATGGGCCCGTCTAGCTTGCTCAGGTAGCCAATCAGAACCCAGTATTCATTTCATATTGCCCATGAGCACTGCCAGCTATATAATTAAATACATTTATTTTCCTATGCCTTTAAGTTGAGCTCCATTTTCATGAACATGACAAAGGTATTCGTGGAATTTTTGAGACACTACCCAAAACTCGAAACACAAACACTTTTACCAGCATTGTGGAGATACATTAAAATGTTTTAAACATCAAACTGGCATGCTAGTAAGCATGTGCCATATTTCAAAGAAAAATAACAACTCAAGAAACTAAATCCCTTAAACTACAAAAATACTGTCTTTCAGGGAAATGAAAGTGTATAAAAAAGCCTCAAAGCCTAAATTATCAGAAAATAAAAACTTAACACTAAAAACCTTGCACCCACCAATGATTTTTTCCACAAACTGGTACATCAGTCTGGTCTCTTCTTCCTCTCTTCTCCATCTTTCTTGCACAATAAAATATGCAATCATCAACCCTCCAATGGCTAGAGACAAAAACAAAGCACAGGGTGACTTTTAACAAGAAAAACTCAGCATGAAAGTTAGTTTAATGTGGCCATTTCCATGAGAATGGCAATGAAATGTCTGAAGTCATTATGCTTGCTCTTAAAAAGGCACAAACATATTTCATTGAGCCAATAACCCTGTAAGATTGTTTACCATAAAAAGAAAGAAACTCAACATCTGCATTGGGTGTCTGGCCATCACTTGTGGCGTAAACTAGACATCCATGCTATAGGGGCCAAAGGAAAACTGTCAAAGCTCCTTTATCTAATGCTAGACGCCATTGCATCTTCTTGGCTTACCATTAGCTTTTCTTTAACTCACTGAGCAGAGTATTAATCAAATTTGAAAGCAACTGCCATCTTAACAAATATCAACATAAAATATAGTAATAACACTTTAAGACCTGACCCAAGAAATTGGTCTCAGAAGAAAATACTCTCTGTGGCATTTGAAATGTCTGGATCTACCAACTTTTACTGTGAGTTTAAACTTACTTACCAACACTGATCAAGAAAGAAAGATATGCCAAGCGCGATACTGCTTTTTTGATGCGACAAAATATAGGTTTTGCAGAGACTGACGTATCGATCCAGGCCACACTTTTGACATCAGGTGCTCTCTCACTTATATTGTTAAACAACCTAATGAAATCATACAATACATTATACTTAATGACCATGAATACATGAATGATATATATTTGACCTGCAGATTAATAAAAGAAGATAAGAGTGATCATTGCCATTAAGAACAATACTTATTTTAGACAGTAGTGAAAATACAGTCTGAAAAGAAAAAGCTACCTGTAAATGCATGAATTTTTTCCAGCTTTTTTTGCTACCACTTAAGTAGTGTTCTTAAGTTGATTACAGCAATAAACAAGCACTTTCGGGAGCACAATTGAACATTTAAAAATATTAGAATATATAATTCTTGGGAACTATGAAATCCAGCCTTGTAAAAGTGACATGCTGCAGCAATGACTTCAAAAATTAGATGCCAGTGTTCAGTAACAGTTACAAGAATTTACGGCAAACTTTATTTGATATCTCTTTCAAAAGCCTTTTGATGTAAATACTTTTCTTTAAATTGAATTTCAGGTTCAAATGATTTATGACTACATTGAATTTTGTTTCTAGTAATCAGCATACTCTATAAACCAAGGAAATAACAAATGA